TGTTAATTTTAAAATTGAATTTAGCCCAGCTGGTATAGCTCAGCAGTTGAGCATCGACCTAGGAACTAAGAGTTGCTGGTTCGATTCCTAGTAAGGGCACATGCCTATGTTGTGGGCTCAATCCCCAGTGGGGGGAGTGCAGGAGTCAGCCTGATCGATGTTTCTATCACTCTATCCCTCTCCCTTCCTCTCTCTGTAAAAATCAATGAAAACGTATTTTAAAAAATAAAATAAATTGAATTTATTAGGGTGACATTGGTTCATAAAACCATACAGGTTTCAAGTCAAATAAAACATCATCTGCACATTGCATCATGCGCCCATCTCCCCAAGCAAAATCTCTTTCCATCCCCATGTTTCCCCCCTTTGCCCACCTCCACTCACCCTATGTGAAAAGATGCCCAACCATCCTCATATTAAGAGAAATGAAAATTAAAACCACACTTGGCATACCATTTCTCACCTATGAGATTAGCAAAAATCTAAAAGTTGAACAATCCACTCTGCTGGTGAATTTGTGGGAAAACTGCTGGGGGTAGTCAAAGTGATACAATCATACAGAGGTGTGGATGGAAATATTTACCAAATTAAAATGCACTTAATTATGACTCAGAAACTACACTTCCGGGACTCTATTCTATGAATATATCCACACACGTTTGGAAAACATATTACAAGGTGGCTCATTGTGGCATTGTTTGAAATAGAAAAGTATAGGGGTAAAAATCTGTGTTCATCAGTTGGGCTCAAAGAAATCAATAAAATCAAGTAATCAACATGATTCCAGCCAGTAGACTCAAGCATCAAGATGTAACATTAGAAGAAAATAACATGGTTTCAAAGCCAAGACAAAGTAAGAGCTAGAAACCAGTATATCTGACAAATTGCAATTGGGGGGGTGACTGGAATCAATGAGTCCAGATTGTATCCAGGTGTCCTAGAAGAATGTTAGAGTAGTACTTACTATTCCTTAATTGCGCTGCTATTTCTTAAAAACTAATTGTGTATTACATAATGTATCTGCAATCAGAAAAGCAATAAATCTGATTGTAGATGCATTAATATAAATTCTAAATAAAACATTAGTAAACAGAACCCAACAGTACACTGAAAGACTAACACATCAGAAATCTAATGAACAAAATAAACTGAGGAGCAAAATAGGTCCAGAGACATGGATACATGGAACAAAATAACAGATCTGGCGGGGGAAGGAGGGTGCAGGAAGAGATTAACCAAAGAACTGGCACATTAATATAATCATCCTTAAACAAACATGCAAGGGGAAAGAAAACTCTTTATCAAAGAAAGTTAGCTAATAAATATAGAAAGATGATAGGATTAGAAAATCACCATTTTGCAACCCCCAAGTTAACCATTGTTTTAGGTGAAGATCATCAGTGGATGCTAAAACCATCTTGTGAAAGCATACTTGAATGTTATGGGCTGAAATGTGTTCCCCCAAAATTCATATGTTGAAGCCCTAATCCCCAGTATTGCAGAATGCAAAATGTGACATATTTGGAGATAGGGCTGTTAAAGAGGGGATTAAGTTAAAATGAGGCCTTTAGGATGATTCCTGATCCAATCTGACTAGTGTTCCTGTAAGAAAAGGAGATTAGGACATATAAAGAGACACCAGGTGTGTATAGGACAGTATTCTGTCCTTAGCTGCAGATATTAAAATATTCTGACCTGCACTCTTCCTCGTTTTTAACTAAATACACACATAAATGTGAAGATTTGTAACTGGCCTGCCCCAGGATGCAGAAAATCAGTGCCAGAGTTTAAAGGAGACTCTGATCCTCCTATTTAAAGTGGCAGTCCCCCCAAATTTCCAACTCATATCACTCAGCCCTATCCACCCTCCTTTAGCAATTATCACCTCTTAATAATTTATAGTTAGCTCTCTTCCCCTCTAGGATGCCAGGTTCATGAAGCTAGGGATTTAGGGGCTCTTCTGTTTTACCAAATATCAGATACTAAGGGCAGTGACTGGTGATCAATAAATATTTGATGAATGAACAAATAGTCTCATATACTTGTAAGTTCTCCCTCTCTTTAGTATTTCCTGCTACTCATATCAAATCAATTTTATAATTAGTCATATCACCCAGAGATGCCTGCAGAGTCTTTTGGAGGGAATAATTAATCTTTTAAGAAAATGAGTCCAGTGTGTGTGTTTTGCTGCTCTCTACATGTGTGGTAAAGATACCAAAAATAAGCAGTTGATTATTCCACATATGTGAGAAGCAGAAGTCATTGCAGTATCAGCATGAACAAGTCAATGAGCAAACAGTAGATCAATAAGATAATTTCTGATAAAAAGGAAGGCTATGAAGAAAACTAAAGCAGGCAAGGAGCTTAAGCAGTGGGGTAGGTCAGGGAAGAAAGACGCCTGAAGAAAAGACATTTGAGCAGACATGAGTGGCATGATGGGGTGAGCCATGGAGCCAGGGCATGCATATATATACATATATATGGCAGGAGCCTCAGTAAGTATCAAAGCTGTGGAGATCCTGCCTCCTTGCTATCCTACCATCTCCAGTCTTGCCCCATTCAAGGAAAGGGGCAGCACTTTTCTCCATGCAAACTTTCTCTTTTTACATATAAATATCGACCTAACAAATTTTCCCAATTAATTAAAATACTTAATTTGAATAATACAACTAATATTTATGCATCTACCATCTACTAGTAAAAGGTAGGGCCTTGACAATAACCTCCATGTATTTATGTGTTACCTCAATTCATTGCCTTGCCTCCACTCAACTTAGGTAAACATCATCCTGAATCCCAAGTTCATCAATTTTTTTATTTCCTTTTTATTTTTTTTAAATGTATTATTATTATTGATTTCAGAGAGGAAGGGAGAGGGAGAGAGAGAGAGAACCATCAATGATGAAAGAGACATCATTGATTGACTGCCTCCTGCACACCGCCCCCTACTGGGGATCAACCCTGCAACCCAGACATGTGCCCCCGACTGGAATTGAACCCGGGACCCCTCAGTCTGCAGACCAATGCTCTAGCCACTGAGCAAAACCAGCTAGGGCATTATTTCCTTTTTATATTATTTTATTACAACTATACAAAATCCTAAATAGTTCATGTTCTCTATATTAGTAGCTTTTAGTTTTATAAAAGTATATTTTACACAATCTTTTGGGAATTATAGGATTTTTTCCCCTTAATATTCATCCATGTTGTTGGATATTATTCTAGTTCATTCATTTTGACTTCTGTTGATGAATATCCATTTTTGCTTCCAGTTTTTGCTGGAAACAGGATGCCATGCATAGCCTAGGTTTCATGTGCAAGTGTTTCTCTTGGATATATCCTAAGAGTGGACTGGCTGGATTGTGAGGCATATAAATATTCACTGTAGGAGGGAATGCTAACTATTTTCTAAAGTGGTTTCACTTATTTACATTCTCCAATGCTTGGCATTATCACTTAAAAGTTTTGCAAATTGAATGGGTGTAAAATGTCATCTCAACATGTCTTTTTTTTTTAAAAATATATTTTATTGATTTTTTACAGAGAGGAAGGTAGAGAGATAGAGAGTTAGAAACATCGATGAGAGAGAAACATTGATCAGCTGCCTCCTGCACACTCCCCACTGGGGATGTGCCCGCAACCCATGTACATGCCCCTGACCGGAATCGAACCTGGGACCCTTCAGTCCTCAAGCCGACGCTCTATCCACTGAGCCAAACCGGTTTCGGCATCTCAACATGTCTTGATTTGTATTCCCCTGATCATTAAAGAATGTTTATTGGCTCTATCTTTCTTTCTTCTCTGAAATGGTCTAACAGATAAACATATTTTTTAACGTAACCTAGTACTATTGTGACACTCAACAACATTAACAATGATTCCTGGCACTCTATTAGAAGTGAATGCATACCAAATGTGCTTCCACTGATTCTATTTCTTTTTTCATTTATTTATTCAACAAACACCCATACCAGGACTACAGGGGTCCCCTCAGAATATCTTCCTCACCCGAGGATTTGGAAAGGCCTACCTCTTTTTGGAGGATTCACTGGAGGAGGAGATATTTGAACTTGGTTTTGAAGTGTAAGCAGGCATTCCCAGGTGAAGGGCAGCACGACTTCTTCCCCATTTACCCCAGTGACATCTCCCAGAAGGGCAGGGCATCTGCAGAGTTTCCATGTTGGAGATGATAAGGGGCAGCAAACTGGTTGAAGGGCAGAATCTGTGTTGCCTTAAAGCTACATTTGCAAACTAAGAGGGTATCACTATATAGGTTTTATTTTATGAGGAAATAAAAACAATAGTTTCTTAAAGATGTTTTTATTGGCAATATTGCATTAGGTTAAGAAAAAATAAAAAGGCTAAGGGGGGAAGTTGGGGGACATCTGCAACACTGTCAACAATAAAAAGTGCAGTTCAAAAATTTTATTATTCATACATATTTTATTTTGGATAGGTGGAGTGGAAGATAATGTAGATTATGAGAACATTCAACCCCTACAGCCAACCTCCACAAGCACAGTAGAGGAAAAGCTAACACTGACTTCTCCCCTTTTTCCTCCAGTGC